CTGTCTTCTTCTATTTGTTTGTGATAATATACCTTCAGGAATATGAAATATCGAGGGTGTTGGAGAAAGATTTCTTTTAAAAGCAAAAACTCTTTGAAGAAAGCTTTGGGAGTTTCTCCCCTGACGCAAGCAATATACAGCACTGTCTGACCTTGGTGTAGAGCAGGCAAATTGTACATTTTCAATAGTTACTTTTCTTCTGTAGCCTGGTTTTCCAATAATCTTTCACTCTCCTTGAGCCCTTGGCTACCTAGAGGAAGCAGGGCTGCAATTTTTCTAAATACATTATGTGTGCAAACCCAAATGGGTGTCCAGAAATTCAGTGTTTGAATTGCTCACTTCTCACATGACAGTTTGTCTTTGCTTGCACATAGTAACCCCTTTATATGTATGTAAGAGATGACAAAATGTGAAAAGAAAGATCAGCTGGACACTTGTAATGAGTATTTATTGATGCCATAGCAACATATATAACTGATGCATATATAAATTAGCAACCACTAAGATGAAATCCTTTGTTGTTGTAAAGGAATATCTATTACTTACTGCTTAGCCTAACCAGGTAAAATCAAAATCAGGTGATACATTAATCACAAAACTCAGAGAACCATGGCAGTTTTGGTGGATGGTCTGTATTTATGTATGGATTTCTTTATTTACAGTCTCCTTCCTCCCTCTCCCTTTTACTCAGACTTGTTTAAACAAGAGGTCCTTGCTGTCTTTGATAGCTTCCTAGCAAAACTTAAAAAGCAATGAAATACAGCATTTCCTTTTCACAGATGCTGCCATCTTCTCATCTAGATAGTGAATTTTTAGCAGATGGGCATAAAGAAACAGGGTTGCCCTTGACTTTATTTTGCTTTTCATTCACTTTTCTTAAGACAGTGCAAGGTAATTGTCAAAGTTTCCATAACGTTTGATGTTCAACATCAGTCAAATAAACCTAGCTGCTGATGGAGAATAAATGGTTTCCTGCATCTGCTAGCCCAATTTCTAGTTAGAAACTCATGTTTTGTATGTTGATGCTTTCTCCTCTCAGATTCTATCCTCTTCTGCCAATTAAAGCAGTTCATTGATTCCTCTGAGTTGCTTATTTACTTTATGGAACTCAAACACTGCAGTCTGATGCTGTCTTAGGAGTCTGCTAGAGTTGGCACTTTCCAAGTGGAATACAGTCCTTTTGAAAGTGAGATTAAAAAAATTAAATCTATTATGCAGGTTCTTTGTCACAAGAATTGCCTGTCAGAGTACTCAGGAGTAGGTCCTGAGTCTTCAGGTGTGTTTAATTTCTTAAAATTGTGGTGGAAGAAGAAGTTATTATTCACTGAAAGTTTCAAGTTTGCAGTAGAAATGTCTTAAACACAGCCCTTTGTTCTGAGTATAAATGAAGCAAGGCAAGGCAGAGTGTAACTACAATTGGGCTGTATGCTTACCTGGAGTAGACTATTCAGACACTGTTATGCAGTTAATTCTGCCCAGGAAAGATAAGCTACAGCTTCACAAAAATTCATCTAACTCTCGCTTACACCAGAAACTTCCTCCCCTAGCAGCAGAGGAGTGGTGCAGATCCACTAATGAGCAGGGCTGGAACTTTTCCCAATAAGTTTCAACAGTAACTTTTTCCCTGACTGTAAGAGTGACAAGTTTTTTTCCTAAATGTAAAAGTGCATTACCAGGTGGTGGTGGTGGGTTTGTGGAAAGAAAGAATGTGTGTTTTTAAGCTCATTCGATTATCTTACTCTGCTGAAGTGGTTGTTCCCTGCCTTTTACCCACATCATTTACCTCCCCCTGCCCCTGACATGAGAATTTAACAAGCAGAATTAAAGCCTAAGGGAAAAGGCGGCAGGAGGAGGGACAGGAGTGGGTATCCAAGTCTGTGCCCTGTCAGGAGGGAGCTGCAGATAGAGAGCGGTAGGGTGGAAGTTTCCCTGACAGACTCCTAGTCTGTTCATCACCTCTGGCTATACAGCACACCCGCTCTCCCTGGGTGGGCTGCCAGGAACAGCACAGAGCAGCACATACCTTCAGCGGGGCCCCAGCACATACCTACCAGCCTGGCTCCTGCTCCCTCCCTGCCTCCAGCACAGGCTGCCATTCTTCTGTCCCCCTTAACAGTTGCAGCAGCAATAGTATTTTTTAGGCTGTGCATTTTGAAAAGATGCAAAAATCGTAGTGTGTTTCTCAGGAAGTGACCAACTTTTTTTTTTTTTTACTCATTAATGGGATTTTTTCACTGCTCTCTGATCTCATTTCACTGAATGCCTTCATTTTACAGCACTGAGGAGGCCCAATTTTATCCCTTCTAGGACTAATCTCACCTTTGTTGATTTTTCAGGGAAAAGGTCTGAGTCCCTTGCCCCTCCCTGATTATGCCCTGTCCCCAGAAATCCTAAGCATGCTTTCAGCTTGGGTGCTGCTAACAGATTGCCTGTAAACTGGAAGCTCTGCTGCCACAGTTTGTTGTTCCTTTTACAGATTGTGGCTATTGCCATGGTCACATTTCCCATACGTTCCCAGTCCCTGACTCCAGATGTCTGAATAGCACTTGGAGGGAGCAGTGGCAGATACATCAGGCCTCAACAACTCTTCCTTCTCTCTCCTTGTCAAGTCACAGGGTGTTTTTTGATGGGACAGCAAATCAGAATTCACAGAAGAACAACATTTTCTGTATTTAATTGCAGAAACTGAGAACTGTTACATCCTTGTAACGCAGGGGAGGTGGGTAAGAGGGAGAGTGAGTGTGCAGGACATAGGAAATCCAGTGTTAAACTCTGGGAATGTATACATGTGCAGATCAGAACAGAGATTGCTTTGAAATATTTTATTTGCAGGGCGGTTAGTACATCAACACTGGGATGGCACAATAGAAAACCTATTTGTTCTAAGAAGAGATTCCACATAAATAGGCAGATTTACTGTGTGTTGTTGGATTAGGTTTTATGCTTCTTAAAAAAATCAAATGCTAATATAACTAATTTTAATAGCATCTCTACCACAGACTTAAGTATTAGTTTTCAGATTTAGTAACACTGGAGATTCAAGGATGTTGAGGTCTACAAAGAGAACTGATATGGCATGAAGTATTTGCAATTTATGGTGCAGAAACAGAGAACTTCTGTTAGTTTTTCAGCCGTGCTGGGAGGAATAAGAGTTACTGAGTCAGACCACAGCTGGTTTTTCCAAATCTCAGTAAATCTTAGCTGATCCTCGATAGAAGATCTTGGTTAGACACAACTAATTATTTATGTTATATGGGTGATTCAACCTTTTCTGGTTTAGTAGCAATAAAGAAAGCAGTTGTATGAAGTAGGCCCCACAAACACCTTTCTTGCAACAGCAGCCATTTGTTTTTCTGACAGATTCAATTAATTCTAGAGAGGATCAAAAGGAAATCACTGAATTTCAAAGTCTTGGCTATGACCTTACATATCTTTCTGTGTGCAGATTAATAAGTCATTAAATCATCATTGGACCTTTTCTTGCAAAGATGGCTAAATACTAATTTGGCTTTAAGTACCAGGTAAATTCTGTTTTAGTAGCTATGTCTACAGACACCCAGCAGGACCAAAATCTTACTTGAGACAAGCTGGAGACAAGAAAAGAGAAACACCAGTAAACCCCAATTTTGTATACAATATGTTTATGATTGAAATTTCTAGAAAATATTTACATAACTAATTGATGCTGTCATTCTCAGAAAAGTAAAAACAATGTCTAAGCTTGTTGTTATACTCTGACAGCTTGAAAACTGTAAAAATCATTCAGTGTGTTACAAATAATTTGATTTCCACAGATAAAGAGATAAAAAAATTTGTATTATTTGGGCAAGTTACATACTTTAATTAACATGTAACTACCCAATTTTTGTTCTTTTTCATGACTGTTTTAACCCAAACAATTATTACTTCAGAAGTTACAGGTGGAGGCACTTGATAGTTTATATATAGACTACTTTCATATGAAACTGGGCAATTTAATATGAAATTGAGATGGCTGCTGCTTATCTAATAAGTAAAATATAAGGATTTCAAGAGGTTTATTTTCACCTGTAGATGGCTCAACCATTTATTTTCCCAGTGTCTGTCCTACTCTCATAACTATCTTCCAGTTCCGTCGGAGCCTAGCTTTCCCTTTGTGGTGGCTATTGCTCCTAACAATTCTGCATTACAAATAAATGCTATCAATAATAATGATAGATGCTGCACCACATATGTTTATGGAAATTCTCTGGGAATCTTTGTGTGGGAAAGGGTTTGAAGTATGGTGTGAAAGGGGGTGGGCGGGGAGGTTGCTTTTTTCATTATGCGATACTCGCTTTACAAATTAAACCAAGTATTCTTGTTCCAGTTTAAGACTCATTTTGGTAGACTGGCTCATAAATCAAGTTCTGTTAAACACAAGCATATTAATACATAGATTCACATGGATGGTGTTGGTTTAATTTTGACTCTCCTTTAAAAGTAATCCCTGACAATCTCATAATGTTGCTCCTATTTGGCTAGACTTTTAAGTAAGTGCATCAAGTATTTTACTAAATAGATCAATTTCATTAAAATTTGCTTAAACCTTTATTTAATTTCTGTTTTAAGGAGGTGCTTTAATATTATTGTGATGCTTAAAGTACTTCAGATCCCTTAAAAGGGAGAACTTCAGTTCTAGTTCAGGTTTGCTTTTGCTTCCATCTTTTTTTACCTTGAGACTCTAAATATGTCAGAATTGTAAAAATACTATTATGGAGTCAACAGACTCTGTTTTTGACTTGAAAAATCATCACCAAATATGCAGGCACATATGATTAAAATAATGCAAATTTTATTATTAGGGTTAATTAATTAACTACAGTAGATCTACCATAATGAAACAAGCATGTAAAAATATATCTCCCGGTTTACTCAGAAGCTTCAGAGTGTCTGATGGGTTGAAATGGTAAGTGGGTGAATGGATGAGAATAGAAAGGAATTTCTGTGCTTTGTAAAGCTGATGCCCTGCATGAAGTTTAGCAACATCACTTCTCCCATGATTGTCTCTAGGCAGCAGTTGTGGTGGTATTCAACTTTGCTATGGTTCTGCTGATTTTCCCTGCTATCCTGAGTATGGACCTTTATCGTCGAGAAGACAGAAGACTGGATATATTCTGCTGTTTTACAAGGTGAGAATGAACAATAGATTGATGTATGAGCTGTGTCCTTTCTGTGGTCACCAGTGAGTGCTTGCATTCCTGTCAGAAATGGGAGTTCTTCATCAAAGCGGGGTCAGTATGTGATTGTTACAATTTCATTGCTAGTGACCAGCTTACATTTGCTGCCTTGGTTTTTACCTGATTGAAGGGAAAAGGTAAAATACATCTGGATCCCTCTCTTCCCCCCTCCACTGCCTCTTGTCCCTTCATTCACACATACGTTCATTTTGACTATTGGAGAACAACTTTTTGAAAGCAGATTAAAGATCTATTGTTTAAGAATATCTTCAAGTATTTTTAGAATGTTATGAGCTACTGCAATGTGTCCAGTGTCAGTACCCGGCAATCTTGGAATACTATACCTAACTCAGGATACTGAGAAGCCTCACTTACAGTTAATCATTATGTATTAATTTATATGCTTTTATACCTTTAAACCTGAATGAATAAACATGATGTAAAAATTATATACAGGGTGATGCTTGATAAAGTTTCTGTTGTGGCTGCAGG